CTTGCAACTTCCCTTCATGATACTCAGATAACAATACCTAGAATTCCTGGAAAATTGAGTAAATAGTTTATCAAGCCTTTGTATACGTAAACACAGTAAGCTTGTTTCATATGCACGCTTGGGAACGATGAAGTGCCATAAGAGGTTTTGTAGTCCTTATTGATTTTCTCTTACATCTCCGGTTAGTAAGATCAACCAACTTTCTTATACATAATATGTATAATCTTTCGCAAAATAATTCTGAAAGCCAAATAAGCCATATTAGGTACTTCACACAACTGGATAAACCATCTGATGTGAATTGCCCTCAGGACCTCTAATTTTAAGGTGAAAAAATAAGGCTATGATGTGTCACTGCAAACGTTTGTAGGGATGGTGTTGTGTGAACATGAAAAGCGTTTAGAATGAAGTATTTTCTCACAATTTAGTTAAATCTCAATGACTTTACACTAACTTTGGATAATCTACTTTCTACCCACTCATCAAATCGATTTTATATCCGTATTTTTACAAAACAACTATCCGGTTAGCAGAGTTCTACAGTAATTATTGTTTAGTCAATTTTCTACCACGCTTTAGAGTGATCATTTGCATAGTTGGTTGTGGACCACAAAAACTTTAATAAATTAACCTGGTTTATGGCAACACATAGGAGCAACTAAGAAAAGACATAGTTTCCATTGTAATAAGTATTAAGATAAATTATTTCTTGTGTCTAACACTAATGCCACAAGACTTTCGATTAGGTAACTGCTGCCGGGAAATAAATGCACGAATGAAAAATTTCATGACAAGCGCCAGATACTAGTCACCAATCATTCAAAACTTACGTTGGGTTGTGTGAGCGACTGATCGCGCTTGGTAAGCTGTGCCGGTTTTGTAAATCCCTGTTTTACTGGAAGGCTTTATAATCACATTGACTGTATCGTCATCACCATCATTCTCTTCGCACTGGTCATCTGCATCAAAGTCGGCAACAGCAGCAGCAATTACCGCATTTCTCTCCTCTTCTATAAACGAGCAACCATCGTTTTCTTGGACCTTTGACGCATCAATGCTTTCTGTCTGCATACCTTCACCATTCGGCAACTTAGGATCCACAGTTGGTGAAGTTGCATTATCGACATTACATTCATCTGCTTTTCAGAACCCACGTGAATTGGAAAGTAGTGACATACCATTGGGAATCACTTCACTGTCCATCCTTTAGGCAAGGGTGAACTACGCGGCTCCCATTCAGTATTCCAATATGAAAAATCTGATAATGTCTTCAAATGGTTGTAAAATGACCTTTAAATCAACTACATCAGTAGAAAAATATGTTCTTATTATTATTAATTACAGATAGAACATATATCTGTGGTATTTTTATGAACTAGTGATTCTATTGTACTGGAGGACCCGCTTATTACGAATTCCAAATATCATACGTTCATTGGTATTCATCTAGCTCTACTTCCCGTAAATTGCACCATTTTCGGAATTCCCAGTTATTTCAATAATTCGGATACTTTTAATAATCATAGCCATTTTTTTAATAATGTTCCATCATTCGACTAGTAGTCACTTCAATTTTATTCCTTGCATTTTATCGTTATCTCACAGGAGATGCTTATTCCTGATGGCTCAAAGCTATTTGACATGATAACCATCAAGTCACTATTGAAAATAAAGGGGGCTAGCATAAGATCGCCACATATTCTACGATTTGTGGATGTGGTGGCAAACAAAATGAAATAGACAGCTATTATGCATTCTATATTGATGTCAAACATGTTAGTCTTACTGAACACATCATTACATGGGGGCAGTTCGTCGACGGTGCAGCTTCCAGTTCTGTCATGTTCGAGCCTTTTTCGTGGATAGTGTATATTCTTTTTTATCAACCCACATAAGGTAGAATAGAAAGTTTTACCTTCTAAAGAGTGCCTCTTCGAAAACTTTTAATAATAAAAATAACGTTCGCCAGCTTCTAGAATGAAATATTTTAAGTTAGGTCGTATTCAAGTTGTGGAATTACCATCCACGCTTTTTATAATTGGGAACGGAGTAGTCAATCAGCGATGGTCAGATTGTTCTTCTACTCTTGCCACCCAGACCTATGTTTGAAAATTTGTGCTGGCTTCGTTACTTTGCCGAGACGACATATAACACGCTAACTCAGGTTTTTACGCTATGATCTGGTGGTCGCCATCATATGATAAGCGAGTGAGAATTGTGATGAAAAAATGACAGATGATAAGCAATATAGTTATTAGCATTTCTGAACGCTTCTCTCATTCGATGCACTTTTCCGCTTCTAACTTTCTCTTCATCATTCAGATCCAATCCACCTTGGGACACACAATTGATTGCCCTTTGTTTCTGTATTATCATATCCATAGATCAACTACGGTTGATTTCATTAGCAGCAGCCAGTGTGGTGTGTGCTATTTGAGTGGACAGACATACGTAGTATGTAGCGGCGAATGGAAGTGGAAAGTTTACCATCAGAAGACTAAACTGAAGAGCAGAGGAAATATAAATAAAACGTCTGACTTCATAATTACGTCCTTACCGAAAATGGGATTCTTTAGAATTCATAGTAACATCTGCGTAATCCAAACTGCGTCTCTATACAGATGGATTCTAATAATTTAGGATCTTTTTTCTAAATCAGACCGAATTTTCGGAAAGTCGTTTTTCGTTGGAAATTGATGACGAATGTTGAGGATACCTCATCAAGATACCAAAGAAATGAGGTCTCAGCAAATGTGGGAACTTTAGAGGAATCACATTGATGTAAGTAACAGGAAATGTTTTCAACAAAGTGTTGCAGAACCGAATGAAAGGTTCAGTAGTGTTATGTCGTTTAGTCTGTCTACCCACTCTTGGTGCTGAGGATACTTATCTAATTCAGATTAAGACCTTGGCGCGATAGGCTGACCGACCTAACCTTGAGGCTAGTACGCGTGGGTTCGAAGTGGGGTAGAAAGAAAACTATTCTATCACTTTATTCGATAAAAGGCACGCTAATAAGGGAAGACAAGACAACTGGAACACTGCTCGATCTATTCCCGATATCCTGATTTTAGTTCGGATTAGTGTAAAAAGACACATGAATATATAAGTGAATAACCCGACCACAACGTACAATAATTAGGAAAAATACAATTATGTCCAAAGCTGGGAATTAGAGTAGAAATTAGGGTGGAAAATATCATGTTTAAGTTACAATAGCTTCGGAACAAAAAAAGGAAGGCAATGAACCATACATCGAACGTAAGCTTATGTCCTGTAAAATAGATTAAGGATAAAAATAAATGTCAGTGTTTTACAAGCTTTGAATAAAATGGCTTTCGTAGTTTGTCAGGGCTTCTTGTTTTCCTGTTCACAACATGTAAACGCCCAACTTCGAGATGAACAGGCTGGATTCCGTTGGGCTTGGTTGTGCACAGACCGAATCACGGCACAACGGATCATTTTTAAACAATTAGTGAAATGGAGATGTGGAAGTTTGACAGCGTGACTAAGAGAACATTATGGAATATTCTTCTATGCTATGGAGTACCTGAAAAGATAGGAAATATCATCCAGAATTCATGTGATGGACCAAACTGCTAATTCGTGAATGAAGGTCAGCTGACGGATTAATTTCAAATGAAGGTCAGTGTCAAATAAGGCTTCTAGTGGTTGACCGGGTTATACAAACCTCCAAATCTGAGGAGAAGCACGGGATACAATGGACAGCTTAGAAAAAAGTAGACGATTTGGATTTTGGAGATGACCTAGCTCCTCTATCCTATACACATCAACAACTTAGGGTAAAGATAGCCAATGTGGCAGCAGTCTCTGAAGAAGTGGGTCTCAACATACACAATGGAAAAAGCAAGATCCTCAAATAGAACACAGCGAGCACTAACTCAATCACATCTGATGGAGAAACTCTGGAAGATGTGGCAAATTAGGGCAGCATTCCTACAGTTGAATGATATATGGAGGACAAAACAAATTTCAACCAACATCATAGTGAGAATGTTCACTGCGGACGTCCATAAGATTCTACTGTACGGAGCTGAAACTCGGAGAATTACCAAAACCATAATCAAAAAGGTACAAGTATTTGTAAACAGTTGTTTGAGCAAGAAACACAATATCTTTTGACTGGGTACGATCAACAACAACCTACTGTGGAAGAGAACAAACCAGCTTCCAGCACAAGAAGAAAATAAGAAAAGACGTTGAATGTGGACAGGATATATGTTATAGAAATCTTCAAACTGTATCACGAAACAAGCGCTAACTTGGAGTCGCGAAGTGTGATGGAGAAGAGGCAGACCGAGGAACATATTGCGAGGGGAATTAGAGAAAGACATCAGAAGAATGAATACAACTTGGAAAAGCTAGAAAGAAAAAGCCTAGGGTAGAGTTGGTAAGTGAATACTAGTCGGCGGTATGTGATATGGTCAAGTATATTAAGGCCAGCTGGAACACCAACGATTGTAACAGACATAAATGAGATAAAACAACTCCGAGCGAAATAGCATCCATCACGACTTACGGAGAAAAAATATTAGACTTTATCAATCAGTGAAGTAAGATCCTGATTATTAGATAGACTACACGTCAATCGTCGATTCTGTAATTAGTTTGGGATCAGATAAGGTTCAGATTTGGTTCGGCAGTCATATTTATAGGAAAATTCACAAATGAAATTGGCGCAACTCAACATTTTGTTAAAAGAGTTTCAAAACAACAAAAGATGGCAGAATACGTTTGATGTCTACCAAGATATCATCTTTCTGATAGTACCGTCATTCTAATATTTAGTACAGTAATTTGCCATATTTATAGTTTCACAAGCATTTCTGATGTAAAAACCGAAATTCACATGTGTACAACAACTGCACTGCTTATTTCCAGGGTTTTGAATTAATACCGCAGTAAACTATCAGGTAAGGGGAATAAAAAGCGAATCAATTTACTCCCGTTCAATATGTCGTTTAGTGGAGATACTAAAAGCAGATTGACCTTGGAAAAATCATGTTCACGATTTGGTTCAAATGGAATCTACATTTTCAGAGGAGTTATTGAGGATCTACTACCGAAGACTTTTCCCATGCGATCTATTTGCACAGTGGCTTACATATAATTCTCGATGTAGTGGGGTAAATTGTGTTATATAATCTTCGTAGCTTTCTAAAAGAGAACTCAGTTTTACACTGAATGGTGATATCTATCTTAGATATCAGAGTTTTGATTCGTCGTCGGACCTTAGGAAGGATCTAGTCAAGCTATGCCCTATTAAGATTGATATTGGGGCAGTTTACTCAACTTCTCCCAGGCTTCATCGTTCAATTTTATCATCTTCACTCAAGGTAAACTTTCTCAGTGTTTTGTTGATTATCTCATTTGGTTGTCTTATAGAACCGTTTTGCGCCTGGGTAGCTAGTGTGTATAGTCCTTCAAATCAGATCGTTTACGACTGATCTGTAGCATTTAGTGATGTTGATTCGAAGTTCTCGGTATACTGAGGTGAATAAAACAGCTACTTAATCATACCATTCTCGAAAGATTTATTGCATTGAATCGATGGATGATTAACTTTTACAAGCCATTATTTTTGATCTTGGTTTTCATTTTGCAAGTTTATTTCTACTGGAAGCAAATCAAATAAGAACATTTTGCCTGAAGATACAAGCGGTGACATTTACTTTGAAAAAAAAACACCCATCAGGCTCTGGTTTAATAAGCTGACAGGTTATTTCGTAACTCAACTTGTATACTTATGAACGGAAACTAGACAGAGGCACTTACGTTTCATGGCTTTAATTCTCTTTGGTCTGTGACAAAGTTGGTTCATTTTTGTTGGCTGGTAGTAATAACGCGGTTGTGTGCCTGTTAACTAGTTTGTCCTTTCTGAATAAACGTGCAAAATAAAGTTTCTGCTAACCACTTTTTTCCTCGTTTTATTTTACGTGACGGTATTTGATGACCAATGACTCTCAGTTCATGTCATCATGATATTTTTGACTCTTCAAACAAATCTCTCCCATCTCGGTATTGGCTCATGGTTCTGTACTTACCATAAATGTGTTAATTAATTCTTGGTCTGATTCGACATTCATGTTTACCAAGCATATATTGGCATTGATAATTGGAAGTGAAGTTTTTCATACATGAATCACGACAACGAAAAACAATCCAGAACGTTTAAGTCAATCAAACCATTGCAGAATTTTTATTCTGCACGCAAAACTGAAAAAAATTGAACTGCTTCATAACTTGTGCACGCATTTTTTTGTATGCACTCAGATTCCATGTTTGCTGTGATACCCAATATTCGTCTTTGTAGTTGATATTTCAGTCACAGGTTCAATTTCTAAATTTGAAACTTTGTTTCTGGGCTAAAACACTAATCTTGTACTTGTATTGGGATCATTGAGGGAGATATCGGGCTGTAATTCAGTGATTGAAATCAAGGTCCTTATACCATATAATAAACAGTCGGCTAAAAATGGAAATTATCACCGCTTGTGATAGTAATATATGGTTTTGCTTGACAGTTATGTATCTGTTTTTACTGAAACACAAAACCTTAAACACTTGTATTACTTAGAAGTACAGATCACATGGAGCTGAGCACAATTATCGCTGTAAACCGTATACATATGCGTATGATTTTCTTTTATAATTAGCCTGAATGGAAAGAATTAGTTTTCGATATTGATTTGACTGATTATGATGAAGTTCGTTATTGTTGTGGTGAACAAAGTACTTCTGGATCTTCTATTTGCCTTCGCTGCTGGCAACTTGCTCGTTCTGCAGTCCTCTGTATCGACCGTGCCTTAAGAGAAGACTTTGGGTTCCAGCATTTATTGTGGGTGTATTCAGGTCGTCGTGGAGTTCATTGCTGGGTATGTGATCGTTCCGCTCGGCATTTAGATCAAACTTCGCGTACAGCTATCGCGGAGTATTTAACTTTGGTTAGAGGGGGTAACGGTAAGAAGGTAATTCTACCATTTTTAATTCTTATTGTGTAGACTTTGACTTTAGAAGAAATGCTTATGAACACCACACTTGTATTTTGAATAGTGGTGTTTATTAAGATTACAAAGAACAATATTAAGGCTGACACATTTAATTAGTATAAAAAACCAGTCAGTCGGTTATTATTAGATTGAATATTCAACATTTTAAGTTCGAAACACGAACGCTACTGACCTTGGTTAAATTTTTATGTTTGCTTTTCGTTACGTGTGAAAAGTTAATGAAGAATGTCGAGAAATTGTTTTATTAGGAGTTATGCTGAGGAGACTATTAAATGAATACTCTTGTTTGGTGCACAAAAGGATTCGAACTCTCCTCTATGTTCGCCTTTCTGCATACCAGATTGTTTCGCATGAATTTTTTCGTAAGGTTTATAGCCGAAAATTAGGTGACTTTAGGTAATTGTTAAAACATATATTTGACCAAGAATGCATCAAAAATCGTTTACATGCTTTCTCACATATAACTATCCTTGTTTCTGTTCACAGTAATTTATTTTACCTACTCAAAACTAATTGCTACAGTTCGTAGGATCAGCAGTTAAAACAGAGTGAATGATGGCTCCTCAGTGTTCATAGCTTGATGGATCAACCAAAATATTCTAGCCCTAAACGTATTTGACTCTTTAGAACAAATGAGATTGGTTTATTGAAGCAACAGTAGATATTTTATAGAAGTGGCGAGGGTTTTATAAAAAAGTGTGAAGCTAGCAATGTACTAACAGGAATAATGGCACTAGGGGTGGTCATAAAAATCAAATTATATTCGCTTTTTAAACGTTATCTTACTACTAGTGAAGAACGTAAAAGAAAATTCGTTCCTGTCATTAACTATGTCTAGTTAGTTTTCATATAACTGAATTACATGGTCATGATCTATCAACCTAGGCAGAGATGGTGCAATTAAGCCATTACGTTTGCACCAAAGTGTTCAACATTTGGTCTTTTACTGTCAGATTAATATTATTGTGATATCTCTAGATAGACCTATTACACATCGGGTCTCCCTGTTCGGAGTGATATTGTCCTTTATACGCTTAGTAGGTATTCATGTGCATCCACGTAAGGTGATTGAAGGATCTCGGTCTTCATGTCACACTACTGACCTTTCTTGACTTTCTCAACCAAAATGTAGCTACGACTATACTTGGATGTTATGATACTATTTCTAGTTTCTAAAATCTCACTCTATTACTTTCCGCATTGTTAGTATTTTTGTTTGCTCATTTTGTGTTTTTTTTTTTTAAAATTTTATATCACTAAATGTATATTGTGCGATTTGTTTTTAATGAAGTGATTAATTCGAATTAAAAAATTGTTGAAATAACTTCGAAATAACCTTATAGATTTATATTCATTAAACTTTTCAACTAGCCCACACTTACTGCTGGTAACTTCTCAAAATCTTATGATTCACATTCACATGGGAATATTGAGCCAATTTTTCATCCTTGTGTGGATGCAGCTTGTGATATATTGATGCCTCGATTCACAACTTATTGCAGTACAACAAATGGTCAAAATTTATTCGGAAATAAAAAACGTCTGGATAAGTTACTGTCATTTTTACCGGTTGAGTTAAAAGATCTTCGTGAACGACTTTTAGATGAGTGGTCTACCGATACTCAAGAAAACAAAGAAGAAGTATCTACAAAAAGATGGAACACATTAAGAAAGTTTTTGAAAGAAAATGGTCGCGCAAATGTTTTGAAGGAAATAGTCTTAAATTTCACATACCCTAGACTAGATGTTAATGTGTCAACAGGTAAAGTCATTTTACCGATTCGTTTGTCACGTCATATTGACGTTAAATTACTAAGCATCATGTTTACACATGTATAGTTATTTTATCAATTACATGTTTTGTTAAACAGCATGTCCATAATCACAACCCAAAAATCACCTAGTAAGTATCAGTTAGGATACTTGAAGCAAGATAGTTCAAGTAAACAAGCCATGCAATTTTGGCTAGTGGTAATGCACTATCTTTTCATCACACTTCTACTGATCATTGAATAGAATTCATTTGTACGATTTAATTCTTCACTAGGGTTCTCGGCTTTTAGAGTTTACAGTAAATTGATTTATTCATGTTCATTAATGCCACTGATCTTTTATTTTACTATTAACTATAAAAGGAGCAAGTTTTTGAGCAGATGACCATTTACTCATTAGATGTACAGATGCGTAGTCAAAATAACCTTATTTTTTATTCAACTTACGGAAGTACTTCGGTACAGTATATTCTCAATTAATATATATTGGAATGATATGAATATCATTCCGAAGCATACCGGTCGTAATAAGTCTTAACGACCTACTAGATGAATCATTTGGCTGCTTTCAATCTTACCGCTCTTCAATCAACCTGTCTGGTATAGTAGGACCTTGAGAAACGATTGCTTCAGCCAGTATGGCTCGATTTGCTCATTACGATAGGCAAGCCCGACCATCACGTCAAGATAGCAACAACGAACGGGAATGGATGCACCTGTGCCATTGAGAACGATTTTGAGCCATGTAATTCAGTCTCTTACCATTGGTTACGATAGTCACGCGGACCCCAACAAGGTAGTATGCACTAAAATGGCTCAGTTCAACTGTTAACGACTTGATGATTTAATGCCATGCTTTAGTTTGACCTCCTAGCTCTCTTCATGCCTACCCCTACACCAGAGAACATCGGCCGTCGTGGTGGGCGGTTGATAAGCATATGTAACACGTCCCAACCAACTCAGTTAATGAAGGTTGACTACCTCATCAATTGGTTTTCCTGTTGCTTTATTCCTAACCTAACCATTGCTTACTCGGTGGTCCCAAAATACACAAACAATGCTTCTAAGACACCTATGATCCAATAATGGTAACCTCTACTCCTAACAACTATGTTTCACATTCACAAAGCATAACTGAGTGAACTGCCGTGCAGTAAACTCATGTTTTAGTTGGTAAACAGATACCTCACCTACGCCACAAGTAACGCATATTGGCAAAACCCAATCGAGATTTTTGAATCGGTGCCAGTGTTTCGTCAGACACCAATTCACCGGGACTAACCGGATCTTCAAGATAAGTGAGGTTGTCGATACGCTCAGCTACTTCATTCCCTATCATCAATTCAGGCACTGACACCCGCCAGTCCTGAAGTAACATTTTTCATTTGGGGGAGAAAACCACATCCCAAATATGGTTGTAGTGTTGTTTAAGGTGGTCAGAAGACTGCATTTTGCTAGTGTCTTCAAACAGTACTATATCATATGCATACTCTAGGTCAACAAGTAAATCTTGGTAGAAGACCAACGCTTGAAGAATCAGACGATGGAATTGTTGTTTCCAAATGCATGTCTGTGACAAAGTTAAACAAATATTGAGAAAACAGACGACCCTGACGAACGCCGCTTGAAGTAACCAGTTCCGATGATAGTTTGTAGGGGCTGGTACTATGTTAAGCCCACATAGGTTATTCTAGCCCCTGGACAAACCAGTCTATTCATTCTTCTCAAGCCAAATTTTCACTTTGTCACTTATTCACTTGTCAGCCTTGATCGTTTTTATGTGAGGATGTGTATACATTGCTTATCCTACTCGTCACATGTCTGTAGGTTATTTTTATCTGACTATAAATATTGATTCACGCTTAGTTAAATCGTGTTGGCTCACTTGCCTTCCCCATTGAGCATCATTTCGTTTCGCTTTGCTCTTCTCTTTTCTTTTTCCACTTCGTTTCCTTGATTGTATGTCCAGATCCATGATTGTATGAAATATGAGAATTCATAATTCATTCTTTTATTCGACTTATTTAATCCTCTTATTCGCTAACACGATTTAATTCGATAACTATATACGAGGATCGGCGGCATGTATATTTCGACAGCAATCAGCAAACGATCTAACTGGAGTCAGATACTGGGGCACTAAATGTTCACCATAAGCTCTGACTCGACCAGAGGTGTTCGAGTGGAGAGCCTGTAAAAGATTAATATACCTCTTTGGTACGTCTTTCAATGACAAACAATGACATAAAGCCTCATGATCAACTGAGTCAAACACTGCCTTAAAGTCAAGGAATACAACTATGGTAGGACGTTGTAAAGTATGTCTATATTCCAGAATCTGCTGAAAGGCGATTAGTTGGTCTATATATCCACATTCAGGTCTGAAACCAAACTGGTTTTCTCGAGTTTGCTCTTCGGGAATTCCAGTTAAACATCGAAGTATTATTGTGGCTAATATTTTAGACGCTACATTAGTTAAACTGATTCCTCCGTGATTTTCACAAGAGGATTTTTGTTTTTCCTTATAAATTGGGACGGTTAAGACAAGTCATATGGGGTTACGTCCAGTTCCCATAACTTAGCTAAGATTTCAGTTTATCCAACTGCTAAAACTGAACTGCCATTATTAAAAATTTCAGGGGTTAGTCCATCAAGCTCCGTTGCTGTCCCTTGCTTTAGATTAGCCTTTTCAACCTCACTAAGAGTTGAAGGGCTTACGTCAGTTTGGCATTCAGATTGCTTAGAGATAGTGGGTAACTGAGGGCCAGTTTAACTGTTCTTTAGAGTGTTCTGCTCTTCGGTTCAACCTCATGGATCGAGAAAGAACAATAGTCTCGACTTTTTCCTATACATCGTATTTTTAATACGCGCATCCTTGATAAGTGTGAACAGTTGTTTACTGTTACCTATCGCTGCTGCCTTTTCCATCTCTTCTGCTTTCGCTGCCCACCACTACTCACGATCATCATATAGGTTTTCTATCAACCTACGCTTAAGCTGCCTCAGCTCTTCATCATGTTCTGAGCCAGACGGGGTGAGTTCTCAAGTATTTATCAGTTCTGTAGACGCCTATGAAATCCACTGATTTTTCCCAATCTTTTGGTTTAAGCTACTAGTATATATTACCGCTGTTTCTGCAGCTTTTTGGTTATCATATCAAGCTATTTATAAGGTTAAGCAGCTCCTCTTGCTGATTCTGAAATGTATTCTTAACTTTTTCATCATTAAGTTGTACCCTAAGGGGTTTTCTTTTTGTGACCTTTCTACGTCCCGTAAGACACAAACAAATACATGCTCGAATTAAAGCATAGTTTGAGTCTAAAAAATGTGCTCCAGAATGATCGACAGTCTTCAGTCGGACATTAAAAGCTTTATCATTCAGTTTAGAGAGCGGTTTTAGGAGACCAGGAATAATATTTTGTGAATTCTAGTTATTAACATTTCTGGTGCATGGTGGTAAGGTTAAGTAAAAAGGGTTAGTCGTAGGGATACAAGGTTTATGAAAATGTCAGGGAGGGATGTGATAGTCAACAAGATGATTTTGGGTGCTGATAGAAGTGTGAGGGCGGTTGTTAATTCCCGGTCGCCGCCCACACTGTGGAAGGGTTTTATTTGGGGGACCTGAATTAGTAATTGTCTTAGCGACCTGAGAGCGTAACTTCAGAGCCCAGAAGACAACTGCTTGAGATCGGTCTCGCACGATCTTTTTTTCATAAAAATTGGTGTTTTAGCTCTCTACTTCAGAAGGCCTTACCATCGGAGATGGAAATTCGTGGGGTAAAGTGAGATGTAATATATTTGAGGTCGGCCTTTTCTCGCCCCTTCCTTTCTCGTGAGAAGGCAGCATCGTTGGAGATGCTGGTTATCCGAGGGAACACCTTACTGTTGTCACACCTCTCTGTGGTCAGCAGTAGGACTTCGTCCTTGGGCTTCTTTTACTCTCACCGTTCTTCGACCGACCTGTCTGACCTGGTAGGACCCAAAGGGACATGTGTTCCAGTCAATGTAGCTCGGTTAAGTCATCACGATAGGTAAGCCCGATCACCACATGAAGGTAGGAGCTATGGTCGGCCTACATTTAATGAAGAAAATGTCAAAATACTGAATCGAGGTAAGTCCAATAATTCCAGCGACCATTTTGTCCGATTTTGAATCGATGAACACATCAACATAAATGGAATTACACGATTAGAGATCAACACAGCAAAACAGTGGCAACATAGTGAGTAGGTAAAAAATAATAACTCCTAGGAATACGATGAGTCATAAATAAAATCATCAGAAAGAACTGACATCTTGCTTGCGATTTAATCAAAAAGGCAATTTATACTAGAATTAGAGACTATTGATACTGTCAAGGATAACATCGAAGATTTCTCAACTAAACCACTTAACTCAGAGAACTTAGAACTATCAAAAACATTTTAATTCAAGGTAACTTAAAATAAGTTTTAATATTTGGAGATTTTTTCCACTTTATTATTTTTTATCTTATTGGGTTTCTATTATCCGTCATTCCTTATAGGTCTTAATCATTTACTGAAGAGTCCATTTTGTGTGCATCCGAAAACTGGTTATATATGTATACCATTTAATCCACAAGAAGTCGATAAACTTGATCCATTTAATGTACCAACATTAAATGAACTTGTAGAACAGCTTTCTTCTGTAACAAATAATGATCATGATTGTGGTAATAATGATGAAAATATTTCATCCAATGATAGACATTTATTATCATTTAAGAATACCTCTTTAAGGTCTTCAATTGAATATTTTGAGACTTTCATAAAACATGTTTTAAAAGCAGAAAATTCATGTTTTAATGTTAATCAAGCTGAAGGTAATTCAGATTCATTTAAATCTATTCCTGTATTTTAACACTTCCTTTTGTAAAAGAGATTTTAAAGACTGTATATGAATTATGTTATTAGATTATTATTATTGTTAGTATTCAAAAGCTTTTTTATTTTTACACTATGTTAATATTTCTCAACTCCGACTTCATTACAGTCAACAGCATTACTTCTATCCTCTTCTTTCTTATCCTGCTAAGTAGAGTCAAGAGGATCAGTTAAGTAGTTAGAGCTTTTTGATCATAACCTCAATGTATCAATTAAAAACACACTTAAATTGATCTTTTGTATATCAAGTATAATGGTTAGAATTTATGTACTGACTTTTTTGTCACATAGTGGAAATCATAGTAAAAATGTATTAGAATTCCATGAGCATAGTTCACACCGAACAATTTAATGCGACGGAAATTCGTCTCAATCGATATTGGTTTCCTGTCCTATAAGTCGTTATGTCTCATGGACAAACGCAGTTGCTTACAAATTAAATCATATTAAAGGATAATATCTTGATGAGAAATATTGGACAAACACAGATAAAGAACAAAATTTATAAGACAAGATTCTACTGTAGTTATCTTAGTAATACATTTTTTACGTCTAATCATGTTGGACATCCCACGTGTGTAATTAATTTTTTCACTGAAGCACATTATGAAGTAGAATTTCTTATTTAATAAAGTTTCGCTTTCTAGATCTCGGGGATAAAAATAATAAGCTAAAAAGGTGTATCACAAAGGTACTTATAACTGTTTTGGTCTAATTTATAACACTTATTCAAGATGCTCCAGGCGAGTGACTTTACCAACCCATATTCGTAGATTCTTTTCAAAGGAGAGGCTTGAACAATTTTTAACGGAAAAATGGATTTCCACAGCAGTTTTTTTAATGAGCACACAAAAACAGTGGAAATATCAAGCAAAATATAACTCATAAGTAAATGTTGTTTTTATTCTGCTTCAAAGTTAATGAGATCACAATATGTAGTGAAATATAATTGCTCTGCTTCAGTTATCGTCCTGGATTTATTCAAATTCGTTGAGGGAATCTATTCTATGATTGGTTCATGTTTACATATGAATGGTGTAGATGATAATTATATGTAGTTATTCTGCCATTTCCTACTTGTTTCAACACTTGCGAACACGGTATTCCTTCAGTTTGTCAGTGCATGATTGAAATGGTTCTCAAATTACTCACTGCTGTATACTAAAAGCTAACTGAATACAGTGACTTTTCAAGTCTCAATTGTAGAATACTTTATTTACCACTAGATATTTTCGAACTGGAAATTTTTAGTTTTTTAGTGAATACATCCTACAATAGTATGACATGAAAATATTTAGTTTGGAGTTAAGATTGCTGTTGGGGTGACGGTCAAATTTCTGAAACTGAAGCAGTAAAGATCCTACAAAAGTTTATTGTTCTCACCATAAATTCATTCTGTTTGTACCTTATCGTTGTCCTTCTCATGTCTACCAAATCAACAAATTCAAATGTGTTTCTATTTGTTTTCTACTCAAAATAAAATAACACAACGAAGTCCCATGTTTTCTGCTCTGTAACTTGTTAAACGACAGTCATACTATTTGTTAGTAAAAAGTAGTATAATTAATTTAATAACAATTAATGTTCACACCTTGAATTTAGGTTATTGAGATATCACTGTTGTTACACTTTTAGATTCGTGTTACAGATACATTGCATGTAGCTCAGGTATAATATTATCTAAAGTAAATCTTGATAGCTTTAATTTCCAATTTTTGGAAAAGAGGAACTTCATTACGTTATGTTTTTCAGAAGCACTTAAGTGTATCAGTTTTAAAGAATTTATCATGTATGTTGATAACTGTCAAAATGGAAAACTAGTTCTCTACAATATCTTCGTCTTTGTCCTCCGAATATTGATTTTCATTTAGTCTGTTTCGGGTTTGGATTATTTAGTCCAAAACGTTTTCTGCAACGTCGGATACAGCGCTTTCGAATTGGATGTCGGTGGTTGTATGTGTTTGATTGTAAGCATTGAGCGCGACATTCGCATTTGATAATGAATCGCGTGTGCTGAGCTAATTGAAAGGGAAGAGGATAGAATAATATAATTACTTTGCGTTATAATATGTTCGTCTGTATACAGTGCTATCCACATAAAATGGTCAATGGAATTGAAATTTAGAGAAAACAAGCAAGAATATGATAATCATAAGTTGTGTCAAAGAAGCGTTCTCCCAAATTGATGTTTTTTGTTCGTAAACAAATTTACCACTAGTTTAATAATGATAAATGGTTGTCTCGCTATTCTTAAATTTCAAGAGTGGTTGTATTTTTTGTATTTACCTTGATTGTTAATTTTGTGAATATTTCGCAGATGTTGCTGAAATGGATCTCCATCACTAATCTTTAGATCTACATGCTTGTAAAATGGCATTAAACATTGTATGAATCCATTCCTTTTATTCCACAATATTCTGCATCTGAGGCGTAGTTATTAACGCTGCAAAATATGTTTAAGTTAAATATATATTGGAAGCATTGTCAACTTTTTGTCAAAGCTACAAGTGAACTATTTTAGAGTTAACCATATAGGTCTGAGTAAAATGAATGAGTTCCCCTATCATATAACGAAATTGTATTGATCGAGGTTCTTAGATCATGTTCTTGAGTGGTATAAGTAGCCGCAAGTGTCATGGTACGGCCGAGAGTGGGGAGAGTAGGTTCTCCCTCTCAAAATGCTCTCACATGGACACGCGTATATAGCCACTGCCAGGGAAGTCCTACTCACTGCCATCTCGCAGCGGGAGTGTTGTTGAGAGTGTGGGAAGCGGATGTTCGGCCCTTTAACCGCGTTGGTGGACACGGAGGGTCCACATAAGGGAGTTGGAAAACCCTAATTCCAAACAATGAGCCCCACTATCCCAGAAAAACAAATGGTGTGTGAACCTATTGTTGGTCACCGGTTACCATTGGACTGCATATCCTGACGTTGCTCCACTGCCTTGTATGTTAGATTATTACGGTAAAGGCTCGGCATGTGGCCCCATAGGGAAACCACCTGCTTCGGTCTGGGCCCCCGGCAGTATCAGCCCACACACAAGTAAAAGAAAATGACAGTGGTTACTGGAAATACAGTTCTTGATCCAATTAAAATCCAGATAACTCACATCCATTTAATAACATACATTTTTATTTTTTTATGTACTACGTCACTTATCTACTCTTTTATTCCCACATTGTGTATCCATATATTTCAGTTTATACAGCAACTCGCCTATTGAAGAAACTGTTCTGTCTAAATGATCTCGAGTTACTGACTTTTCGAAAGTTGAATGCTTCCACCGATTGCGAATACTGAAACAGTCTTTCTAAAACGACGTATACCATTCAAACTGGCTTCCTTCAACTTTCTGACCCTAATGCAGATCAGACAACAGATAGGATTGGCTAGGCCTTCGGAAAGTTTTAATATCGATATCTGTTTTCTATCCGACACCCATATTCAAGACTGGTTAAGTAATACAAATTCGACTTCCATTTGTCGCTTCGGAAAGCTTGTTTCACGTGCATATATCCGGGGACCCTGTGCCATCTTCTGGCCTTGCTTGCATTGGTATCACACCAAGCGTTAGACTTGAGAAAGTACTGATCGATTGGATCTCCATTAACAGTCAATTATTTGCTGTTAGATTAGAAATTTCCATCAAAGTGAGAAGAAATCGGCGTGAGAAATGATGTCTTTTCGTCATCTCCTCCTATGCCCCGACAGATTGCAGCCCGGATGCAATCAAGGATGAGTTTTATCACCAGTTATTTGTTCTTCTCCAGAAAGTGCGTTCGACAGATATTGTAGTACTAGCCGGAGACTTGAATGCTCAGGTCGGGCGTCTAGGCACAGAAGAGAATCGTTTATGTGGTCGATGGGGACTTGTTGGTCGCAGGACAGATAACCGGGACCGTCTACTACAACTTTGCACAGACCACAACCTGTTTCTGGCTAGCACTAACTTTCGTCACAGTCATCGCCGATGTACCACCTGGTTTCCTTCCTCTGCATATCAAGCCTGGACTCAGATTGATCACATCGCGATCAGCTACCGCTCGCGTGATTGTGTACAAGGCTGCCGCTCCTTTTGGTATATGTATCTGGACTCTGATCACACCCTTGTTTGCGAAAATCTTGTCTTACTTTTCAGTGGCCAATAGATTCATCGTCCTAAACTGATCGATGTCAGTAAATTGGCTGCAACTAAATATCAAACCGAACTAGGTTCTGGGCTAGTTAACATACCACCGAAAAGTACGGATGAGCATCGGTTGCGATTGCATGATGCTTTCGGCTTCGCGAAACATCCCGCTTATAAGCACTGGGTTTCTTTAGGCTCCTACAAGTCATTGAAACCCGTCGGTCTACTTCGGGTGATCGTGCGTTTGACCACAAATGACGACTGTTACGTAATGAAATTGGACATAGCTTGAGTAAGGACCGAGAAGACTGGTGGTCGATGCCTGTCAATGAGTTGGAAGCAGCAGCTGCACCCGGTAAATACCGGAAGCTCTTCCAACTCATCCGAGCCACTGGCAACAAGAAAGTCTGTTGTGAGCGAAACAATCTGTGGGGATAACGGGATGCCAGTCGCCAACATCTATCGACGTTTAGGACGATGGACAGAGCTCTTCGAGTGGTCGTTTTCGTACTAGTGTTTTCCAACTTCATGGAATGAGTTGATAGTTGTCCCTATCTTTAAAAATGTTCACGTCGTTTCAGCAAAAGTCGTCGAGGGATGAATCTACTCTAGGTCGCGTCCAAATTATTGGCTTCCGTCATACTTTCTAGATTGTTCAAAATTCAAGAAAGGTTGGCTCGCGAGGAGCAGACTGGTTTTCGTTATGGTCGAGGATGTATTGATCATATCTTCACCCTCCACCAAATGTTAGAACACCGTCATACTTATCAAAGGCCAACAATCGTAGTGTTTCTCGACACCAGGGTTGCCTTCAATTCGCTAGACAGGACCGTTCTCTGGGATTATCTATTGAAGGAGGGTGTGCCTGAGAAGTTTATTAACATCCGCAAAGCCCTATATACAAACACCTCAGGCAGAGTGAGGGTATACAACCACCTCTCTCCATTGTTCCATTTACGAAGTGGGGGTTAGACAGGGTCGCACAATCTCGCCATTCCTCTTCAACTTTGCCATTGATGACGTCCTGGAAACAGCCCTGATGGATGTAAGTGATGGCGGTGTGGACCTGTTGTCTGGAGAAAGACTTCTCGACCTTGAGTATACGGATGATATTGTCTTACTGTGCGATAATGCCCAAGGCATGCAATCCTCACGTAATCGGTTGGCAATCAGTGTCCGTAGGTTCGGTATTTGCTTTGCATTTTTTATGTGCAAAATACTTCTACAAGACTGGCAGGATTCTAATCCTGTACTCACCCTGGTTGGTGAGCAGATAGGAGTAGTCGAGAAGTTCGTGTATCTAGGTAGCGGCATAAGTGCTGGTGGTGGCATGAGTGACGAGATCAATGCACGTATAGTGAAAGCCAGAGCGGCTTATGCCAATCTGGGCCACCTTTTGGCGTTTTCGTGATGTCAGTCTGGCTGTACAAGGTCGGATTTACAGCGCGTTGGTGAGAGCAGTTTTGCTCTGTGCTTGTGAAACCTGGCCTTTCCGAGTTGAGGATGTTAGACGACTATTTGTCTTTGATCATCTTTGTCTTCGAAGGATTGATTACATCCAGTGGCAACACCATGTTAGTAGTGCAGAGGTTCAGCATCGTGTGTTCGTGCACAGAGACGATAAGTCTATTGCTGTCATTATCTTGAAACATCGACTTCGGTGGCTTGGACATGTTCTACGAATGTTGTCCCAGAGAATTCCACGTCGTGCATTATTTGTCGACTCTGGGACTGGTTGGAAAAGGCGAAGAGGTGGTCAGTGTATGACATTATGTGGTGGTGTGAAGGAAAGCTGTACAGGACTGCCTATGTTTTTCCTTCGCGACTTCCTGGTTGGGTTCCTGGAGATGGTGTGACACAGTGGCTAGATATGTTATCAGAAATGGTTCGGAATGGAAGCCATTAGTGATCCTGCTGTAACCTTATTTTACTTCATACAAATGACGTAACTTCACTATGTGAAAGAATTATCTTAGGCCGTACTTTTCTAATTGAACTGCCCCTCCCATTATTGTTATTTCACTATCATACACTAATTTCTGTTCATTGTTGTACTTCTTTTTTCTTATATGCACCTTACATTTTTTATATCTACACATTCTCATTTTTATTGTGTGGCGTATATATATCTCATGCCCCTTCGTACCAATATTTGTGTGTTCAAATAAGTAAATAAATAATAATTATATAACTGACTTTGGGATTTCATGTTTCCTTTTTGTGATTAGTGTGTCTGCTTGCAGACCCATTTTTTCCACTTTTTTTAAAAAAAAACAATTTTCTTTTTTGTCTCCAATTGCATTAACCTGAATGGGTGTTTGAGGTCTTATATTAATTTTGCTATTAGCATGATAAACTAACATCTGATCATCGCTACTAGGAATGCCATCCTCTTAAGATCTTTTTTCACTAGTTTTCTGATGGTTTATTATTTGAAATGATTTTACCTACTAATTATTGCAAAAGAGATATTCTTTTTATTACTCAATTTATTGTTCATTATCAAGGTTAGACTAACTGTCGACTTATCAATTCGCATGTAATAAGTTGCTCTTCTACACGAACTATTTATATCAATGGTACGCACTATTTATAATCATTGTATACTATCTAACTAATGATAATTTAGGAGTAATTTATATAATACTATTGAACAAAAGTAATGTTAACTTATTTTGTAAATATATCTTCAGTTCAGACAGATGTTTTAATCCTTTTGAATACCGAACAGACATTCAAACTTTTTTGTGAGTTATGATAAGTATTTCAACTCATCATTCTAATGGTATTAAATCTATGCATTTAATAACCGCTGTAAAGAGTGACTACTGGCACGAGACTTAAATATATAGCTTCCTACTTACTGCTTCATATCACTTATCAAATAAGTTCATTATTTTACTAAATGTCTTTGTTTAATAGGATGTTTCCAGAATTTTTATTGATTAATATGAAATAAAATCAATATATATAGCTTCATAACTTACATGCACTAAGACAATATTTGTATACGATAAATGAAATTGGTGGAATTTTTCTTAAACCTTCAAATTCTCTTTGAACATCTAATCTTACTTGAAACGGAGCTATACCAGTAAATCTTCCAGTACATGGTAGGGAAATTTGTACATCTGAAAATCAGTAGAGAAAAAACAAACAATTAATTGTTATGTTCTATGGTTGTTTGTTATATTTCTGAAACGTAGTATGATTTTTTTGTGTATTTAATCATGAGTCAACTGACCACCATGGAAAACCTGGAAGCACTGGACGGCCGTTTCGTCCTAGTGTAAGACTCCTCAGCAGTGCGCATCCACGATCCCGCACCCCGCGGGGTTCGAACCCAGGACCTTTCGGCCTCGTGCAAAGCGCTTAACCAATCAGGCCACTGAGCCGTCCGGTATCCAGTGGTGTTAATGTCTAACTTCAACCAATCCACGAAGTTGCGCCACCGTACACCATTGTCTTCAGTGAGCTGATGTCTCTCGCGCGAAACCTAACTTCAATTGACTCATGATTTCAACCTGTGAAATCATTAATAAATAGTTAAAATAAGAATATTCTAATACCAGTTTAGAAATACATTTCAATACATTTTTGGTAATGAATTTACATTGAGAACTTACAATGGATTAAAAGTAATTTTATGAACTATGTAGCCATAAAATACCTTTAGATGATCTATTTTAAATGTACTCATTTCATCCTAAAGTCATGGGAGGGAAATTTCCACCTTGTGGTGCATAGATATCTCAGTTTGGGTTTCTTTAAATAATTTCATCGAACTACATGAAGCATTGTATAATTTGTCAATATATTGCGAATTTCCTGAGTTCTTATGTCGTTTAACAGTCAATCTGAAAATAATTAATTAGAATGTATTGTCAACAATACAGAATCGTTGTCGAACACAAATGGCAGGAAGATACACCATATAGTCAACCTATCGGACTTTATAGAAGTGCTCCTGTTTGTCTACCACTTATTGGTATATCGTCTGTTGGTATGAAATTAAAATTTAGAGACTTACAGCACAGAAGGTTTTGCTTGGTGGTCTCGATATGCATTTGAGAAGAATATTTTCACCTGCAGATTTTTCGCAGGCTTTGAATTGAGAGGCTCTATTGCATTCGTGTCATGTTTTGATTGATAAGTAAATTTAACTAAGGTGTCTGTTGGTTTGTAAGATTCATTTAAAGGTTTTAAGTTTCCATTTAATAGTGCGATCATTATGTTTTTTTGGATCTCATAAGTTAAAGCATACGATTCTAGATTCTGCTTAACAGTAGTCAAGTTTTGGATATACATAAATCACTTTGGGGGATAAATTTGCTGTAGATTTATTGTATTTCTTAGTATTTGGTTAGGAAGCCCATTTGATCCACGTGCTATATTTGGTTGACTGTTTCAACATCTAGTCTACCTGCTCCTGCCATCTAAATATTTCGACAAGTTATCTATTTTTGTTTGTTTTAATACATTATTATATCTATTAATCTCATAACCTATTCAGGTGAGTTTCTGAAAAATGTACAGTCTTTCGTTGTACACGTAATAAAAGGCCAAATTAGAGATATCGGGGTTGTTGGCAATATGCAGCGAGTAGAATGTACATTATTTCGATGTCGATTTACTAGACTGTTAACTTCTAACCGGCGATCACTCAATATTTATCGTCAGAATCGACCAAGAAGTAAGAAACGGAAATTTGTTGAAATAATTTGTACTGAGAATACTGTACTGTACCAAAATCATAATGTTGAATAAAGCTAATAATAAATAAATGAAATAAGCTTGGCAGTGAATGAGTTAAATTTCTCTCTCATTTTTTTCACTCTACTCATTGGTGTAATTACTTTAACTCCTGAGTTCTTGGACACTTTTCTTCGAACCATGTATTCATAGATGTATAGCTATGAAAATAGTCCATCAAAAAATTACCTTTCACACATACCACCTTCCATTTTTTTCCACAGAGACCACTGATCTAAATGTTGTCAGGATCCAGGTTTTTTTCACCCAATTCGTTATTTGAAGAGGATACACCCGAAAATCTTTATTAGTTAGTTTTTCCCTTGTTTCAAAAATGGGATAGGATAATCAAGTCACAGACAGTAATTCTTTCATAATAAATAGTTTTATGTGAAGCATATTAAAATTCTTTTCCGAGAGAAAAAACATGTAGTATGTTTAAATGGCTGTGAATACTATTTCACTAACCAAATATAAATAAACAAATATGCTATGAGTACAATAACAGGATTATCAAAAATATTGGTCATTACTGAAAGTAACGGTTCAGAATACATTTATCAATCAAATTTTTTCGATTAAATCGTCTCTTAAGAAAACATTGGAATGATTCGTTTTGTGTTTAAAAAACATTTAAATTACCTGACTGAGTAGCTGGTATATAACCAGATTTGGCAATATTTAGAAGTGGAGTATGCAGTAGTGTATGGTTCATTGACTTCAAATCAATATTGTAAGTTAACTATGAATAAACCAATAAAAAGCATATTAATCATATAACCGACATTAAAGTTTCAACAAATAGGAATGGTCTTACAACATAATATTTTTAAAAATTGTTATTATTTTTATTGAACGTTTGTATCAGCTTGAATACACAATAGATTATTAGAACAGTGAGACTATAATTTATGGACGACCTTTGAGCAACCCTAGACTGACCTTGAGATTGTCCACCTAATACCTAGGACCAGATGAGTGTTATAAACCTGTTTGAGGAATTATAATTATAATTTACAGTTGATGATTAAGGTTAGGAATTAGATTTAGCATTTTCATCCCGAACTGACATCAACTATAATGCCAAAACTTTATTTAGCTAAGTGGGTGAATGGATTTCGCGCCAAAATCAAAGACCTGTTATCCCAAATCTGATTGGCTTGTTCATAAATTATAGTCTCTTCATTAAAACAATTTTCTTTTTAGTTTTACAATATAAATTAGTAATTTTATGTATTTTAGACAATTTTCTGTACTGAAATACAGCACCTGTTTATATTTTTCTTAAGTAATATATCAAATTAATAACAAATAATGAAAATAACTGAATATTTTCATTGATTTGTTATTATGTAATTTTGTTACAAAAAGAAACAATACTTCTGTTAAATAAATTTGGGAATTTGCTTTCAGTCGTTTGATTTTCCAGACCTTTCAGTAGCTGGATCATCCAGCTACTGAAAGATTTGGGAATATTGAGATGATCTTAAAGGTAATAAATAATTATATAAAGCCTAGTTTGAATAAAATCTGTTAACAAAGTTAGATGATATGGAAATAATAATACATATAGTAATGAGAAAGTAAACAAAACATCATAATAGCGATACAATCAAGGTAGATGTAATTAAACACTAGAATTGTAGTGATAGTACTTTAGTCAAAGTTAGGAGGGAATAGATAATAAATTTAGCTTATCCACTATGACTAATTTTCATCTATATTAGTTAAATACTTAAACTATTAATTATAATTATAATATGAAGTGTAAACGAGTTGTTTGGATATTCCTACACAGTTCATATCATTATTGAATCACTTAATAGACTGGTGTTATTTCGACATGACCACTACTGATTCTCTTTTAATTAATTTCCATTTTAATCGGAATAACATGTTGAGGTGTGGGGTTACGGGATTCGCTTAATACTATTTTTTCAACCATTTTAGCTGTTAAATTTTAACAATTATATCAAGTGATGTGCAGTATCTCGTTAATATTCTTCTCCTGGATTCTCGCATCCGGTAATTCCAGAATTCATGAGGAGTGCTTCAAATATACATATCAGGAGACACGTATGGAGTTCCTTTAAAGTTTTTCTTCCCTGGTCATGAAGTAATACAGAGAAATCTGCTGAGCAGGATACTTGCTTTCAGGTGACCAAACCTAAATACAGTATAAGACATAGATGACTTAGACTGTTGAGAGGTAAATGGGTTTTTTGTATACAGGCTGGAATCTCCCCAGATATTACGATAAGATCACAGAAAATCGCAATATGAACCAAGTGATCAAAATAGTCGACTACTTCACTCTCAAAAAATCAGAATAGGATTTTAATGTGAAACGGTCTTCGGGCAATATTTTACGTTTGGAAGAAGTTCAAAGCATTCCCAACATTTTGGCGTTCTTACTCAATTTATTTAGAAAGCTTCGCATTTGTTCAACATATTTAAGTACTTGAAGTATATCATGTACTTGCTACAAGTTTTTGAGGGTTTTCAGTTAGGGAATTATTCTTCGAGGATTCAGGTGAGGACATATTTGTGGTCAAACGTAGGAAAATCTACTTGATGAAATCGTTTTATATGACAACGTAGTATATCCCAAACGTAGAACATATCAGCTAGTAGAAGGCAGGAATAACTGACTGTAAAGCAATGTATAATACGGTATAGTAAACAAATCACTAGTGAAATATCGGTGAAACATGAAAATATAACTACATCAATGGGATAAGAATGGGAAAAGAAAATGACATAATTCCAACGCGTGGAGTTATATACACATAGTGGGTGACTCTAACTAATGTGTGGGTAAGCCATATTTAGCGATCTAGGTTTTACACAAGTCTACATACTTAGTTTAAACATCGCCGTCAGATTTACAAAATGTAGGATTTAAATTACTTACACGTTCAAAACCAGCTCTCCACTTAACGCGCAACATATCAATGCGTGGAGGGATAGGTCTATGGGCAGATAATGAAATGCGATCCAGTGCTTCGTGTAAAAGTAGTCCATTGAAAACAAGGAACAAATGTTCGGGTACTTTGTAAATAAAAATCAATAAGTAGACGACGGTATCGTATTACCATAGTGTTCAAAGTGCTAACTTTCAAAAAGTAAACGAATACAAATGTTTACAAAAACTGACGAAATCTCAAAATGTGTATCTTGTACAATTTTACCCATAGTCTTCTTACACGTTCACCATACATGAAGTGATCCAGAACGTTTTTGTAACTTCAGTGAGGTTGTTATTGAGGTGGTCAAAAAAGTGATTCATACTCGATTTAAGAATACTAACCTTCGAATGACTGGTCAGTTTGTGTAACATCTGTTTCTTCAGCCATAGCTTTAAAAAATTCCTACTTCTTAATGAAGTTGTTCACTGATTCTCAGAGTTTTGTTGTCAATAAATTACAGTTGCCCACTGGAATATATTTTGGAGATTTGAAATGGGTTATTCAGTTAACTGTTTTTGTAAACCACACTATATAAAATCAATCTGGTCGACATACACTCTACACTTATAATGACGAACGTGGGGAAAAATAATTTCCACCTTTAGTCACATTAGTTTTAGGGGTAAAAATGAACAGTAAACAGTAAGGATCTCACATTATGAATCAAATATGAAGAATTAATTTTTGAAACCTCAATTCTATGACTGAATTATCTCATCAGTTTCTTATTCGTTTGGTTTTCGTGAATAAAATTATCTGAACGATTTATTTTAAACTTACGCAACTCATCCTTAAAATATCCTTGAGCATATAATTTAGATTGAAAAAATGAACCATTGATCAGTTAGATCTCATACGGTTAACAATCTTAATGAGCATACTTTGTTTAGAATAGCTTTTATCAGTGGGATCCATAATGCGCATACATAGCTAGTGAGACTTGAGCTCAGTTATTTTTCCTTGATGAACAAAACTTTGATTATGTTTATGTATTGTTAATAGCTTTTTGACAGCAAAATCAATTCATAGTTTTGATGGAATTTACTACTAATTATGAATATGTAATATCCATATGAGACTATCTAAGATTTTCACAGTTAGCTTATTTTCAAATATTTTACATTTTTTATAGGCTTTAGAAGATCAAAAATATATGAATATAACTTACTATGTCTATGAATTTCAGGTAGTCTTCTTGGACAACGTAATTTACTAGGGATATTTTGATTATGTGGCATTGATTCAATAATCTGTATAACTAATTGACGATCTACCCAAAGATTTAATTGACCATTAACTCCATTCAGAAAATTGATATACAAGAAATCTGGATAATAATATTTGCATAAATATGTATAAAGTTCAGTAAGTAATACAATAAATATAAGTGAATTATATTTTCGCCATATCCAACCGTTGTACATTATTGCCATTTCATTCTGTAGAGAAAAAGAAATATTACAAAACGATAATACTTTGAAGTTATCAGTGTATTGAAAATGTTTAACATTTTGAAAGTAAAATGTTCAAACTAATTTTTAATACGTTTACTATTAGGTATCTAAAAGAGATTCTTAATACTCATTAGTGTTTGGCCTGACTAACAAAATATTCTTTTCACTTGGTATTGTTTTGCTTGTATCTTTCAATTGAGGTTTAAGACTGCAATTGATCAGTCTGTTATTGGCATATGTGCATACTGTGCGTATGCTTCGATATTGCTTTAATTCACAAGCTTTTCTAAGCAAAGATGAATAGTGGCTAGTAGTGGAATCTATGAAGCGCGTTTCGTCTTATTTGGGACTCGTCCCAGAGTGAACATCAACTCTGAGATGCAGGTACATCCGGCTGACGAGTCCAAAATGGGACGAAACGTGCATCCTGGATTCCATTACTAGCCACTATCCGTCTTCGCTTATAAAATACTCTTTACTTAGTAATAAATTTGAACTTGTGCAGTCAGCTGATGGAGAATAAACTCGAATGAATAAGGTCACACAGTGAAAAACTTAACGTACACACTTTTTTAAAGCCGTGGATTTTTAGTTCAGCATTAAGAAAACTTCCAATAGCATGGAAGTTGACTATTACTGAAATCCAGCTGGATATACTAGTAATGTCTTTTAATTGACAATGATCATCTATTTTAATATCTAAAAAAGACTTACCAAGTATATTACTATCAGTTATATCGGCAAATATTTAATTTAGTGTTTAAATTAAATATCTTTCTACTCTATATTATATAATATAGTCTCTTAAGGATTTAAAAATCCCTACTATCGGATTGTGGTAAAATGTTTTTTAGTTTCACTCTATAACAATTTTGAATCGTAAGAGTTCGTTTGAATGTTTAAATGTTAAGCATATTTGTTAAAGTAATGTGTTATTTCGATTTGAGCAAATGTACTTTGAAGGTAAAACACGAATGTATTCTCATTTTCTATTCACATATTTCAGTACATTTTATTATATGATACTAATTATGATGAATAAATTTCGAGAAAATACCTCTTTCACATCAAGATTCTTTCTTAAGAGCGATTTTCGAAAGCTGTAATTTAGTATACAAGTATTATTATTATTGATACTATATGTATGAAAATATCAATGTTATGTGTTATGGTTAAAACCTTTCTACGATATTTAGTTATTTAGGCAGGTTATTAAAGATAAGAGATATATCATAAGAGTAAGGATACTAACTATCGGATTAATAACTTTAATGTGCTAATATAAAGGTTCTTTAATATAAATGATAATCATTAATGGTGATTGGAGAAAGTGAATGAGGAATGAGAGGATTTGTCCGCGTATTGAGAAAAAAGGTGATGACTACATGCTCATTGTGGTTAAATGGATAAAATTAGCTACATTTGTATGAATAACTATGTTAGAAGAATGTAATTCATCAAAGCTTTCAACTTATAAAATAGACGATATTAAACAATGAATTTAAGGATGAACATTTTGATCACAATACTAATAAAAAATAAAAGGCATAATTGGTCTTCATTGCTGTGTACTGCTTACCTGCTCTTCAAATACCCTAAAATTATACAGAGAAATGGTATAAATTGATTACTTGCAAACCTAGTGTCATAGATACAGGTTAGCCGATAAATACACAGTAAGTTAGATATGACTCATTGATCATAAGTCAGATTTACCCATCATCATGTGAAAAATACAGATCAAAGTAGAAAAATAGTCTCATCTTAAGTATATTCCCTGGGTTCATCATTCATATTTGATACGCAAACGGATAACTGCATCTGTTTATTTTGACTGCTATTGAATACTCATGAGTAACCTAGTTCTATGCTATGGAGTTTTCGGCTAATTTAATTCGATGCTCAAATTTGAGATTAGAATATTCTCAACTCAATGGCGCTGAGGAATGCTAACTATCAGAAAAAACTGGTTTACATGGGAAATATTCGTCCTCAACTTACGGGTTTTAAGTAGGAAACTATCATCGTCTGCATATTGGGTAGATCGAATTTCAGATAAAATTGTAACGATGACCATTATAAACTTGTTGAAATTATAAATTAAATTGTTTGTAAAAACTGCGTGTTTATTGCCTTACTAATCACTGTTTTACATAAGCTACTTTTATTATTTCATCGGCTACATTTAAAAACACTAATTAACTATAAGTAACGTTTAAACAGTCCTCAAATCAACTCGTTTTAGTTCGTGATCCCGAATATTGCTTGATCTGTTTTTCATTTTTTCAGATATTTTCATTTTATTAATAAATTACGTCGCACTTATTTGAGTCTTCAGTAATAAAAAAAACCATTTAACTATCCACAGCATTTCCGATTTATACCTTTATACCGTCTAATATATTTTTTGTCTTTGAGTTTTTATATTTGTATTATTGTGGTACGTGCTACTTATATTGATGTAAGTAGTATATGACGCGAGTTAAAAACGTAATGTCTGGCAGCAGAAGATTGGGGAACATCAAGAAAGGAAGAGCGGGAACACAATACAATTTGTAAGAAACGCATGAACAATGAATTGTGAGGCAATGGATTGATGTTTGCAACAGGAACAGTCCGGTTTGTTATTGTGGATTGACATTTTGCAAATTAACGATTTATTATGGTTTTTCTATTTTACCAAGTAACTCTGTAATTTTGTGCTAAGTATGATTCGATTGTCCCCATCCGTGTTCTGTTCACTACATTATAATGTTAGAATGATTTAAGAACCAGTTCTCTTCGTACAGCGTTTCTTGAACTTCGATAATTAGGTCGATGTTCGTTGTGTAGAATAGATAAATGGACACCGCTATCAAGAATGCAATAAAGGCACTATGAATATAGAAAAAGCCTAGAAGTAATTGATTCAAAAAGATGATATTTTTCCAGATGGTAAATATCTTTCATAAACTTAATGTTTCAAATAAACCTGCTACCAACGCAACTAGTCAGTTTGAATTCAATGTCTTTTCTTTTCTTTTAAGGGTAAATATTGTATTTAAATTAAGTATATCACTGCTTGTGAAGAAAAGCTTGCTTACCTTAATTTTCGCTCTGTATAGTTATCTTTTAGGACATGTTTTTTTCCTCAAATGATAATGATAAAAATGCTAGAAACCATTTTGTAAGGTACTGAAAAGCAACATATACCTTTTTTTAATATTGACACACTTGTATATACACTCATTCTTTCGTGCACACACATACATTTTGCATTCCATACATTCCAAATTTTCATGTTCTACTTTATTGCCTTTTTGTTTAGGGAAAACAGACTTGATAAATGAAATTCACTTTTTATAGACAAGGGATGAATGATGAAAAAAGCTAACTAACGTTATGTAATATGAAATGAGTAACTATGGCATGAGGAAATCCTCTTGTAACCATTATCTTTCAAAGATAAACAGCTGAAAGGCTTTATTTTAAACTTTTTTGACGTAGAATTAATGTATTTACTAGAAATTTATAAATAGTTTTCTTTAAATACCTGATATATTGACTTGTATTTTGTTATGCGAAATTCCCATTGCCTTATAACAATCTATCAAAAAGTATCAACAACTGAATACAGTTGCTGAGTTTATTTTAATATATAGCATTTAAGATATAGATTTTATGAAACATAAAATATTTTCCCCCATCTACACAGTCCATTGGATTGTTCTATAAGCAAAATTATTCATGTTTAATTCAAGTTTTTCACTGAATACAATAAAAACAACAATTATAGGATGTGAGAAGGAATCCAAAATAATATTTGCTATTCAAATGTATCATTAAACTATTTTATTTAAGTGAATAATGTAATTACTTGGTTCACTAGTTCAAGTCAGAAGCCATGACCAATGGAGTTCAACCGGGTCTGTTGTGAGATAATGGTGGATGTGTGGCACAATTTCGTGGATTGGTTAAAGTTAGACATTAATATTATTGGATTCCGGCTCAGTGGTCTAGAGGTTAAGCGTTCGTGCCAGACCGGTAGGTCCTGGATTCAAATCCCGCTGGGAGGGATCGTGGATGCACACTGACGAGGATTCCCACAATGGGACGAAACGGCCGTCTAGTGCTTCTAGGCTTTCCATGGTGATCTAGCTTCAATTGACTCATGATTCCAATGATTAAATTATAAAAATTACTTAGAGTCATGTTATTTGTTACATGATTTTATTATTCATGCTTATGTATTTAGGAATTTTTGAGACTTTCTAATGCCAGTAAATTTTATATTTGAATAAGAATTTTCCAAATTAATGAAGTAGTCTATCTTCTGATGTGTAAAGTATTCACCACTAATATCTTATAAAGTACTATGTTAATCCAATCATATTCACAAATAAGAATTCTACTTTGGGGTTAAATTGCATAACACTATAGTTATTTCATAGCCTGATGCTGTGAAAAGTATATGATGAAAGCAAAATGTTTTCATTATCCGTAATAAATTTAGAAACTTCCTGGGATTGTTTATTATTCTTACATTTTCTTCAGACCACCTAATATTCGATTCGCAGACAAATTTTTATAATGTATGGTATATTGCGTTGAGTTTAAGTCTACAGATGTTACCTCTAGTTTCTAAGATTGCAATTACGTCACCGATTTCTTTCCAAATTTGTGAGAATGATTAATTTTAGAACAACAATAATCAATAGAATTTCACTATACAAACAATGAAACACTTAGAATAAAACTTTCTCAATAACGATAATGGTTTATTTGGAATCACTACAAACCTTTTAAAGGTAAACCTTATATTTCGGCCTCTACGAATGTTATGATATTTACATTATGTTTTGTTGGAACTAGTGATATTCGTCATATAATCCTGTACATTCACTTGGTATTGTTTTGCTTGTATCTTCCAATTGAGGTTTAAGACTGCAATTGATCAGTCTGTTATTGGCATATGTGCATACTGTGCGTATGCCTCGATATTGCTTTAATTCACAAGTTTTTCTAAGCAAAGATGAGTAGTGGCTAGTAGTGGAATCCATGACGAGCGTTTCGCTCTATTTGGGATTCGTCAGCTGGATGTACCTGTATCTCAGAGTTGATGTTCACTCGGGGACTCGAACTCAGTACCATTCTCTTCAAACGCCATCGCGTTATCCACTTAGCTACTGAGTCCTGATAGCCACTTTCTGGAACAGCTGATTTCAATTACCAATATCATTTGAAACCTAAGCTTCACTGTTAATCAGTCATAAGAACCAAATAAACTGGTACAAACATAGATCAACACAAGTTGCCACGCTGCATTAGGACAACAAAACGAACTTATGATAAATGCCGAAGTTTTAGTAGTATCCGTGGTAGTAAAAAGATTATGAACAGAGAATAGTGTTTGAAGGAAATGAATCTGTCGAATAAAATGTTTGAAACGATTTTTAAAGTTGACATCAAAGGTTGAATGTATCTGCACAATCGTGACCGATACTAAGACATGTCGTCCAATGCCTTCAATCTTTACTGTCAGCTATCTTAAGTACATCGAATCGAACTTGTCGACAATTACTTGACATAAATCCATACATTGTTTATTAATTTGCTTTGCCTCTCAAACTTATTAAATAGGAAGTTACAAACAGAACGATAACTAAAAAGTAACCAGACTTTAACTCACCAGTCATGAATTATTCTCTGTATCTAATATTTTTATCATCCCGGTTTTGTGTTTACTGGGTAAAACTTCATCAGAATTATGTACAAATTGATAATTAAATAGAAATAATTCGATTGTCTGTTAATCATAACATAATTATTAATCTGTTCAATGTTTCATAGTTTATTTTATGATCAGTGAACAATTTTCACGCTTTTATATAACTATGATACTTGTCATTCCGTGCGTATATCTATGTGTATATATTTAGGTGTTAGAATTTTCATTAAGAATAACTATGTCATAGAGAGAACCATGAGTGTAAGGATGTAGAGGAAAAAAAGAAAGAGATAAGGATGTGAGGAAGAAGGATATGAAGAACAATAGAATCAAGACAAAATTTAATAGCCAATGAACAGTTCAGTTTATCTCATGTTACAACCCATAAAACTTATAGTAACACAATGAAAGAAAACAACAATAACAAAGCACAACTGTGAATTCTTTACAGTATAACACAAATAAATGAAGAAAAAAAAAACAATAACTGATTGTTTATATGATTTATGCATTATGATATGTGTGCATATGTGCATAAATGTACTATATGGATAAATTGAATAGTAGTATTTTATTTGCCTGTAATTTAGTATTGGCCATATGTGAACAAATGTTTAGAAACTAAAAGGAAAGCACTTGTAAAATTATAGAAATAGTAGACAGAATGATAAAGATGAACAGAAGTTTGTTTTTGTTTTTTGTTCTATACATTCATTTGTTTGCTAAGCAAATTTACATGTTCATTTACAGGTGTGTTGACTGATGGCAACTAACTGTTAATTTCAATTCTACAGAGAGAAGAAAAAAATTGAAAATCGTTTCTGCTTAGTAAAACATCTGCATTTTAAGATATACAGAGTTATAGTTAATAATGGGATGAATAAATTTATTTTCTTCAATGAATAATAAGGGTAGAGAATGTATAAAACCATTTCTAACAAACATTCTAGATTTTTTGATAACTTGTCAGTTGCACTGATAGTTAACTATTATTTTTCTATAGGATGAAGTATTTAGTTAACGTTAGATTGAAGTGTCAGAATTAAGAACATTATATAATAATAGTCAATCATTATTGACGGTACAACCTGCTAGTAAATACCAATAAGCACGACATCTAATTCTAGAGTATCTTGGTAACTGAATCAAACCATCTAACATTTTATAACTTAAGTTATATGAAAATGACTTAATTTGATAATGAATAATTCATACTTTGAGTACTAGAATGAAAGAATACAAAATATATCACATCTTTAACTTAATGAATCTTTCTATTTTTTGAAAGTACAAAATAATTAATAAGAACTTTCATCTAAATTTGAACGAATAGTTTCACAATATTTGGGCGCCGAGTTAATGTGAGACATTAAAGAGGATGAATGTATTTTGTAAGAATTTGAAGTAATTTCAACGTTTCGCCTGGCAATCTGGTCCAAGCTTTTTCAAGGAAGATATTTTACAAACACATTCTTCCTTTTTATTATCTAGAAAATAATTGTTTTAATGAAAAAATAAATCAATAAGTAAATAGTGACCAATTTAATCAACTATTCAGATACCCGTAATGGAAAACAATTACTCTCCAGGATAAAGATATTTTTCTGCAGATAAATTCTTCTATAGGTATCAAACTACAATTTATTTTTCAAAATTTCAAAAATTTCCATAATGTAAATCAGAATAACACACATCTATGTTAAATTCACTTGGTGTTGTTTTACTTATATCTTCCCATTGTTATTGAAGACTGCAATTGATCAGTCTCATGTTGGCATATGTGTATCCTGTGCAGATTGCCTAGATATAAGTCTTAAGCCAAAAGCTATCTAAACAAAGATGGATAGTGGCTAGCAATGGAATCCATAACGCGAGTAACTAAGTGGATAACGAGATGGTGTTTGAAGTGAATGGAACTGAGTTTGAGTTCTGGAGTGAACATCAACTCTGAGATACAGGTACATCCAGCTGACTAGTCCCAAATAGGACGGGACGCGCATCCTGGATTCCACTGCTAGCCACTATCCATCTTTGCTTTAGAAAAAACACATCTATGTTATTCTAATAACCTTTTTATTCCTCAATACTGGACACTCCTATCACTGGCACTTTTTCTTACATCATGAATCTTTTCTATTATTTGTAGATATAACTAGATATTTTACTTCTGGTATAAAGATAATATTGGAAAATTTAATTATGAATTATATTTTACATTTTGCATAATATTTAGAAACTATTTTACATACAATTCTATTTGTTCAATTATTGTTTTACTTCAGGTAATTGAATTAAGTTTAATTTTTCTAACAGAATTTCATGTCCTTACGAAATACACATCAAATCATGAAGAAAAAAAAGGAGATTCGTTATTCGTACTTGACAGACATATAGGCAACCCCTCTACATGTTTGTATGCAGTTAGTATAAATACAAATAATGCAACACGGTTAAGTAATTAATGTGAAAATTCTAAAGAATCATTCGAATATAGTAATTCGTCAACTGTCTTTAATAAAAGAAGAAGAATATCAGAGGAATGTTAAAGCTTAGGGATGTATAAGGTTAGGAATTTACTACTTCATTTCTTACTTTAATTCATATATCAGAGTATAGACAAATGTTTAACTACTGAAATACAAGAATTTATTACCATACTGATAAGATATTGTAAAGTAATGCATATAATTGTGAAAAGTATTTATGATTTGTACTACTACTGTAACGAGTTACTTTATGTATATTTTGAAAAAAAGTATCTGTAAAATAGTTTGTTTATCAGTTAAGTGTTAATGGGGATGGAAGAGTTAGAGCACTCGAAATGAATTGTATTTTTTATTCATTGTCTGTTACTCCTTCGGAACTAAACGAAATTAAACTTTCAGTATAGGGTTGTGAAGATTGTTGAGTTTAAATTGATATCATGAATGGATGGATGTTAGACCACTATTGAAAACCCGGAAGCACTGAACGGCCGTTTCATCCTGGCATAGAACTCTTCAGCAGTACAGTTTCACGAAATTAAATGTGTGGACAGTTTTATGAAACTAATGGGTTGTCAGTTTGAAAATACTTAACAGATAATCTATATTTGAACGATAACAGGTGGAAATATACATATATAGTAGTATAATTATGAATTTATTGAATAGGTACAAAAGTTTCCAGAAAAAGAATTTTCCCATCAAAGATTGTTGATGATTGTATGCATTTTTGGAAGACAGTAGCAGAATGCTTTTTTCAGTATGAATTCAAAGGAATAATCATGATCTCCAAGTTAGGGTGTCTGAACATGTCCCTAAATGGTTACAAAAATAGGTAAAATCAAATGACCCAATAAGAGTAGATGATAAACATCCATCATCCTCTTTTGCCCGACAAAGTTGAAACAGGTCATAAGATTGATCTTAACACGGATTTTGTGGTGTTGTACAAGTGTAAAAGGGTGTATACTAAGACTTATTGAAGCCTTAGCCTTACGAAAATTCAAACCTGTTGATTTATCCAACTGCCAAAATATATAGTATATGCTGAAATTCCCAGTAATTGATTCTTGTTTTCACATAGGTGGACGTTTTATAGTTCTAAGAAATCTTGAGGAACTAATTATTTTTTGACATTAATAACAGTTACCATTCACAACGAAAAATTAAAAAAAATTTGCTTGCAAAAGCCAGTGACTGGTACTGTATTCGAGTATTAGGGTTTTAATAAACTTTGGAATGCGGGTACATCTAGCTGACGAGTCCTGAATGGAACGAAATGCGCATCTTGTAGTCCACTTCTAACCATCACCCAAATCTGCTTATAATGCTAGTGATTCAATAGTAATATCAAAACAATCTGCACCAAATGAATATATTCGAAAAGAAACTGATAGGTAGCAGTCTTAAACATCAATGAGAAGTTTAAAAAAACTAATAAAAATATACTTGGACTCAATATTATATTGACTTTTGTGTAATTATTTCGATTTGGGTTTATTCTGAGACATTGTTTTTCCATGATACTATTATGCTTAATCAAACTTAATACACTGTTTTTCTTTATTGCTGTTAGTTATACTCTCATGTTCATTCTAGGTCTAAGATTATTTATGTTTGTTTATCAATTTAAGTGCCTTTCGGGCTCAATAATGGCTAGCTTGAAGACAGATTTCTGAACTCGTAACTGGTGTAAATTAAATATGTCTGAGAATGCATCGAATGCTAAATTTTTCTGCTATTCACCTTCACACAAAAACATGTCAAGAGACCAAATCAATATTTTTTACTGAAGAAGAGAAAATTTAAAACAGTTGTTAAACCCTAAAATAACCATGCTTGAAAAACTTTATGAATTCTTTGTGTCTAGTACATTTATAGTCAACTTTGACCTTAGTCAAATTTACCAGACATGTTTTTTTCATTACCATTTTTCAAACTTATCTGTTTTGACTGATTTAAAATGATCAAGGAGTTGATTTTAAATTTACTTGTTACGGTAGTGACCTCAATAAAGTTGGTTTGTGAGTAGTTTGTTAATAGAGTCAATCTTCAAATAAACGTCATATAAATTTCGAATAATAAAGAAACTAACAAACTGATTAATTATAGATTCGGGAAGCCATTGTTGCACAAAATATTCAATGAGCACAATTTGAATTACTAGAACATAAATGACTAGCTAAATGTGAAAATAGAGGTCACAAAACAATGTTATTTAGAATAGATATATTCATTTAATATAATAGTATCAGTTCTAGTGGCAATGCCAAAATGAAGAGCAAAGAAGAGAGAAATACAAAAAAGATAGATCCAAAGGAAGAAAATGATATCAAGGTATTAAAGTTATTGAAAAATATACTGGCTAAGACCAACGAATTCAACCGTAAAAATAAGATCTGAGGTTATATATTTCAATTATCATGAGGAATCCAACCAGGCAGCCCGTGTCTTCCGGCATCGTTTACATCAGTAACCAATGGATTTTGTGAGTTGAATCTGTGTCTTTTGCCAGGGAAAAATTTATTTGATCCTTCTCAAATAAAAGCCAACGTTTAACTTTTGGGAAGGTGGTTTCTGGCTATGTGGAAAATACTTAAATCAGTGTATATATAC